AAATTGAAGGTGGGCTGCTTTATTAGATTTGAAAGTGTGGCGGATAAGGGAAACTAGGAATATGGTGTGATTGTCATTCTAAAAACATAAAGTTGTTGCAACTGTTGAGGGCTGAGATATAGCCACTTTCACCCCACAGATCTCCAAAGAAAAAAGCCATTTCATCTCCTTTAAACCCAAAACATGGTGTTATCTATAGGCCTTAACCCATTCTCTCAAGACACCCAACTTTATAGAGAATACGCTAGGACATGTAAACGAGAGAAGAGGTAAGGGTTGGGTCATGTAATAGAGAGAGAAGGCAAGGGCTGGGATGTGTTGAAGAGAGAGAGTAGCCATTTAAGTATTGGGATGAGAGAGATTAAATTTTTTTTTCTTCTCCCTTGTCCCTAGCCCAATCTTTACCTTTAAAGGAGTTAGAAAGAAATTTGTCGAAGTTATGGTGTTCCATTGATCCGAAGAGATCAAGTGGGGTGTGTGAACTCCAATAAGTAATTATCGTGGGCAACACCAACAGTTTATGTTCTTTTGTGTGTAGCAACCTATTGTCTTTCCACTATTCAAGATGCCACTTTTTTCTCACCATTCTTCTATTTAATTATGAGTTAAGTTTAATCCTCATTGAAAATTATTGTTGGAGTTCGTAACTTAGTTAGGTCGAGAAATTAGTAGTGACCTTGTTTCAGGCATTTTCTTTTTGCTTTGATGATGTTTCTTACGATGATTAACTTTGAATTTCAGAACATGTAATGTGTTGATCAAGGCAGTTCTAGTAAAGATCCTGAGAAAAACTTTGAAATTCTTACAAAGATCATTCCACATATTGCTGCTCACAAATTGTTCTTTTACATTACATGCAAGAATGCAAATGCCCTCAACAGGATACTCTTTCCTTTCTTGTTTCATCAAAGATGATATCCCAATTAACCACAATGTCCCCGCCAATGGTACACCCCTTTATACCATTTGCGTAGTAAAATAATAATAATAATAATGCAGCTAATAGATTTAGCATCCAACAACCAAAAACAGAAAGGAAAGAGTAATCAATAAGTTTACTAGTCCAAAACTCTTCCAGTGTCTCATAGATAAGTGGAACATTGGTGCACCACTTACTTCGGAAACAAGCTATGCAAACTACATCTGCCCGAAAACACTACCCCAACCAACAGTATTCGACATACACCTAGCACACTTCGTGATCATGTGAATCATCCTCCTATTCACCCCATTCTGCTAAGATGACCTTAGAACTGCCAACTGCCAAGCTAAGCCACACTCACTACAAAAATTATTAATTCATCAGAACAAAATTCTCCCCATCTCCCCATTATTAGTTCTCAGACAATTGATACCCTTGTTTTTATTCTCTCCGCATTATTAGTTCTCAGACAATTGATACCCTTGTTTTTATTCTCAATGTCTTGGAACTTTTTCAAGCAAGAAAAGGCCTCTCATTATCTTTTTAGACAACAAAACTAACAAAATATGCAGTGACATCAAAAGACAACAAGCGATTCCCATGTGCCTGAATGTATCAATTCCATAAACTCCTTACTTCCAGTGGTGGATAAAGCAAAATGTGTTTTATATTTACGAAACAATCATGACTCACAACAAGACACATTGAGGTAGTCAAGGACAAGGTTTTTATCAAAGAGTATCTTAAAGTCCACAATCGCCAATGTGATCCAAACATATATCATGTCATGACAGATTTCACCGCCACAACATTACCTTCCCCTAAGATTGTTTTTCCAAACAATCTAGTAAATTGCTTGCTAGCTCTCCTTTTGAAACCACTAGTACTCTTAAGTATACCACTTGTGAATTTCAAACCTTAGTCATGGAATTTCCAGGGAATAAAAGACTCCTTTTAAGACCTAGAATATATCTGACACTGAGCATTGTGCATGTTACACCATCTAACATCTTGATTATCACCCAAGTCCAACTATTTTACATGAGTCTTTATTTTCCATGCAAACAACCTCCACCATCACATGGTACTCATAGAGCAATCCATGGGTGGACTCCTGTGAAATGATGCTCTAGAATTGAACAGTTAATACGATAAAATTTACTTCATATCTATTGAAAAAACACCCAATCTTCAAAACACTCAATATCTTCTGAAAGGTTTCCTTGAGAATCATTTGAACTAGGCTTCATTAGAACCAAAGTTCAACTTTCCTAGATCCTTTTTTGTGCCTTACAATTTTTTTTCATATGGCCTACTTTTATTTCGCCCCAACAATTTGGTATCTTACCCCGTCCAACTTGGAACATATCTAACCTCTTCTTCGAATTGTCTCCATTTATCTGACTCCTGTCACAAACACAACCCAAAAAGACTCTTGACCAGACTGGTGAACTACAATTACTTCTCGATAGATGTGTGGGACAAAGGAGGCCTTGTGGTACCTATTGCCCAACCTTCCTCTGCTCTGAGAATCGTGTGAACTGAAAGTGGGCAGAAAGGAAGGAGGTCCTCCTCCTAGACACCTAAATTTTAAACAAACATTAAGTTCAAATTCCAGAGACTTTTCACTAGTGAAATTCAGATCAGCATATCCCCTAAATCTAGCATTGTGTAATCAACAAAGTCTAAGTTTTACAACTGGACAAACCAGGGCTTGACAGGGCTGGCCTAGTTCCGGCCCTCGACCTCGAAACGTTGACCTTGGCCCAGCCAGCCCTACTGGGTGAAAGGGGCCCTGGCCCAATCCCATCCCTATACTTGGGCTATGTGGCTTGGCCCAAGGCTGTTAATGAGGTCAAAGTAGGCCACGCTAGGCAATGACCCATGGCCCAGACCATTCAAAACCTAAACGAAGTAATATTGTTGCCTTCACTTCTTCATCAATTTTCACATTTGATGTCACCAACTTGCTAATCAAGGCATCGAACTAATCCAAGTGCCCTTGCAATAAAGAACCATCTCTCAACCGGGTTGACAATGACCAATATTTTTGTTAAGAGTTTTACTCACATAAGTATTTTTTACCCTATTCCACAAAGGCCTTGTCAAGGTTTTCAAGGAGACACTGAATGCAACATAATAATTTGAGGCCAAAAGAATGTTGATAACTGGTCTTTCTGATCAAACTCCTCTACATCTCCGAATTCTTTTCTTTATGTTGCAGAGCATCCAAATAGCCAGAATCCTCAAACATTGCATGCATTGAATTTCCAAATGAGAAGTAGGACCCATTGAACTTTAGGGGACTTCATATTTGGTTTAACCACCTACAACCATCCCCAAAGGTCTGCCACAAACTATTGCCCAACAAGGATCAAAAAACCTTGAGCTTATCTTATGGGCAGACATTTTAGTGTCAGACACATGTACATGGTGTTGCATGCCATGAAGAACAGGATTAAGCATCATGGTGATATTGTGAAGAGAACTAAATCCAATAATGTTTTGCTCATATTCTATTTCATGGAAAAGTAGTAAAAAATAATCAATTATACCTTAATTGGCTGAATCCATAGACTATTTTAAAATACCATAGGAATTTTCAAAGTACACGTACTTCAATATGAAAAAGAAGATCAAACTAAAAATGATTTAATTAATTGGTAATAAACAAGTAGAATATCCAAATCCTTGTGTGTGTCAATATGTGTTAGACACAAGTACGGCACCCAAACACAAGAATCCATGTAACACGACATAGAGCGATTGTACCACTTTTAAGGAATAAAAACCAGGTTTTGCGTGAAATAAGAGGGAAGAAAAACTGTAGACAGTGCTTCAAAATTCGCAAATCTAGATCAGGAATTGCCAATTCGCAATTACCAAAGACCAAGGGCATTCCTGGTCAGAATCTGCATTTTGTTGATATATTATGTAATGTGTACTTCTTATCACAAAAGAACTCAGAAGCCCTTCTTAGTTAGACCTCCAGCACTCTATTTATGAGCAATGTTAGAGGTTCCAATTCCCTCTTGAACCTCCCACTAGTTTTACTATGTATTTTTTTAACACTATACAAAAACATGTACCACCTCCCAATATTTTCTTAAGGTTCAAGAAAATAAACTGATGGGGAGTGAACGCCAGGTCTCGTGCGGGAGGGCAAAGACACCTACCGACTAAGCCGTCCAAATATAATGTTACATAATTACACAGCTTTTTCTTTTTTAAAAAAAAATATTCAGAGCACTGATCCAGAATGATCTAGATTAGCAATCCGGCAATTCGACATGGGATCAATGGTTGAAAGATATACACGACCAATCCGTTGTGTTACACATAGGTACAAAATGATAAAAGGAGCATGACACAAAGATTATATGATTTGTAATTGCCTACATCCACAAGTTAGCAACTTTGTCTTCCAATAATTATAAAAACACCATCGCAGTTTACAAGCTTTTTCTCACAAGCCTTAAAACAAAGTTTCCTTGTCTCAAGAACATTCACATAGGCTACAAAGAAAGTTATTTTTTCTCTCGTGAATTATCTCATTAAGAAGAACCCAATTATAGAAAAATCCATGAGAGAATACACGTATGTGAGGGCCCAAATCAATCCCCTTACTTTTAGGAAGTATCATTTTTCTCTTTAATGATGTCTTCTCCTAAGAAATGCATACTATCCAATGGGATAATAGATTGACCTTGGTCCACCATATCTTCTAAAATATCAATTACACCAAAACACGACAATACATAACATATCTTTATACACACGCACAAGTGCCCAATAATGACTTCTAGAAAAGGGATTCAAAGACTAGGAAAGCCATTTGCGCAAGGATCGCATTTGAAGCAATTATTTTCTGAAATTCGATTGCATATGACATGGTTGCATTATGTATTATTGATCAAATATACAGAATATAATGTCGCCAAGCAAACTTGCTAAAAACATACAAACTAGCGATAACTGCACAAGGAAAGAAGTCTGAACACGACAAGAAATAGAGATTAAATGAAGGGGAAGATAAGATGTGGTACAGGAAAATATTTAAGCATATCCAAACAATTACCTTTGACTCCTCCAACACTGAAGTGTCCTCCACTATCAGGGAGGAGGTCAATAATCGACCAGCAACTTCCTGCACCTTACACGACTGAGTGGGGTACTCCAATGATTGAGAATGCAAATAATCCACCTCTGATATAATGTATGTCAAGCAACAGAAAATTAGCAAAACTGCAAACGCACAAGGTTGGCACCATAGATCCCTTAATAATAAATTTGATAAAAGCACAAAAAACATTAATGAAGTAGGCAAAGGAACCTGATAAATCTTTATTGTGTAGGATCTTAGATGCCCCCTTATATTCTAGTTCTTCCAAATTACATTGTTCTGCTTCAAGAAAGGTCACAGGTTTTTGACAGGCTAGATGCACAACGTCTGGACATTCTTTCTTTGTCTAGCTTGCGAAATACACAAGTGGACTAAGTGAAAATAAATATCACTTAACAAAAAAGTGTTACAGTAAGTATACATAGGCACATCCCTAAATTATAAAATTTGCTGAATATCAAACCAAGACAGTTTAGTAACCTTATTGACTTGTTTCTCAATGCCATGAATCATAGCACCGGCATCAGCAATTGTATCAGAGGTCATCAACTGGAAACACAATATATAAACTTGAATATGAAAGTAGCAGTTTGTACAACTAAAAAGTAAATGCCGTTCACAAATTACAGAAGTTCACAACAAACAATAAAAAAGAGTGCTATCAACAAGGTCAATATGTTACTTTTTAATAATTTCGATAAAAACTTCCATCATCAATTGTGTAAGTGGTCCTCAACCAGAAATAAAAGGGAAACTCTACTTCATGAAATGAAAACATAATGAAGTATGAATAGTAAAAAGCAGAGCTTTTGCCATCAGAGGGATCCATGAAAGAAGATGGTCATTTTTGTTGGACCATCATGATAGCAGATGGGAGATCATTGAGAGGCAACCTAGGGGATTTGGGACTAGCAGAGATTTCAACTGAGCAGGATGTCATTGATAAGTTCCAATATTCAAGAAAGCGGATGCGGCTGCCTAGGCGGTCTGGGCCTTAGCCGTCTAGGCACCCGCCAAGGTGGGCACCGAGGAACAAGGAAATACAAACCCCCCCAGCCCAACCCAAAAAAAAAAAGAACAGGACTTTTTATGAATGAGAAAATAGCACTTTGCTTTTATCTAAAAAAGTTGTCAATTAATAATTAAGAGTCCTTGATGATCACACATGGTGCGACCTTTGTACACCCAACGATTTCATATATGATAGAATTACTAATCTGTCCTTATCCAAAAAGATATAATCGAATGCACAATTGAGTACAAATTTGTAAATAAAAAATAGTTCATCGGTAAAATGGTACTTTATTACATTCTCAAGAAATGATAAGAGGTCTAAAGTAGTGCAATAAATGGAACGTGTAGAAGTGGACAAGAAATAGCCAACTGAAGTGAAAAAAAAAAAAGTTGGAGTCTTTTTCTTTTTAGTACTACTCTTATATAAATATTATTGATTAATTCTCTTTTTATTTGTCCCCTTCTTGTTTGTCTTTTTCTCCCTTTATTTTATATGCCCTGTAATTATTATTGTAATTATTAGAGAGAGGAGGGTATTAATTATAGTAACTTATAACTAACGGAGGAAACAAGGGGGCAGCCTTGGCTGAGGCGCTAGGTGCCGGCCTAAACGGGAAGGGCGCCGCCTAGGAACAAGGATGCCCAAGGCACCCGCCTAGGCGTTTTGGCTGCCCCGTCGACATAATCTGCCAAGCGGCCGAATTTTCAAACACTGATGAAGCCTAAAACACTAAGAGAGGGGAGAGTGGACCTTCATTAGATTTCTAGGGAAACTAAACAAACATAACGGTGACAACATGGATACAGGGAGCTTGGCTGCAGGGTGCCGATCCACCCTCAGAATCTTGCACATGTGATCCTGGCAGCGAAGCTCAATCATAACTCTCTCCCCCCCTCCACCCCATCAAGAATCTCAAATCCGATCATATGACGATCGGAATCCCTGACTAAAAGGGATCTGGAATCTATAAAAGGGGGATCACAACCCTATTGAAAGTGCGGCTCAATCCTGGTTTCAAGGATATCAATCCCAAGGGGAGTTCAAATATTTTGAAACTTTGAACTAACTTCTTTGATTTTTGCGTTGACTTCCTTTCTAATAATTTTCTGGATAATTACCACCTGTAGATGACTTCTTCTTTTTCTGTTTCCATAATCATGGATTGCATTTAGCCAACCCCAAACGATTGGGATAAGGCTTGGATGATGATGATAATCGTGGTTTGCATCATTGGTTGAAATCCGGCAAGCCAACTTGGAATCTGCTTGTATGGTCATGAATCAGGGAATCACATTGATCGTGCAAACCGGAGTATTCATTATAGTGAATAACCCGGTTCATTGTATAGACCTGGGCAATTCTTATGTTTAGTTCTTACTGTGGCCGTACAATCTCACTTTTCTCAAATTTTATGGGAATTTTAAGATATAAGATTCTTATACTACAAGTGTATATATAATGCAAAAAATGTGGATGACATTTTTCATTTTCTAAATATCACTATAAAAATAGAATAGCACACACAAACACATGCACGTGCGCACATGTATAAAATAAAAAGCTTGCCGCTCTCATATGCATATACTATATTTATCAGGCCGCTTTTGTGCCTCACATTGAACAGTGCTATTATGCGCTTCCAAGGTAGGGAGCTTCAGCTATTAGCCGCCTCCTGGCTCCAGTATCTCCAAACAATTATGGATGGAAACCAAATTTAGGTCCTAAAAACCTACTTTTGTGCTCATATACATCCTCATACCTCAACATGAATTCCATAGTAGGTCACTAGAATGTAAAACATGTGAGTGCATACCAGAATTAGAGTTATAAAAGGTGTCTTGCTGAACCCAAAATTTCTGAAAAGTCATTTTTTTGAAGTCTACAAGACAATACTTTCTGAAACAATACCGAGAGAGAACATTTATAGTTCACTTGTGACAACAATGCCCATTTGGTAAAAGCCACAAATTCACATCTCTAATCGAATTTATGGCTTCAGATTATCCTCTGTTCAAACTTGATAAAAGACATTCCAAAGCAACTCAGTGCTGGGAAACATTATCATGCAAAAGACAAACTAAACAAGATTGAATAATTTGAAGCATAGAAGAAATAGGACAGAACAAAAATATCTAGAATCATATCAATACTATTTACCTTTGACGACTCCTGAACTACAATGTCTTCCGCTATCCACGAAGAAGTTGATAACATAGAAGGAACAAGCTCAAGACTACACATTTGAGCTGTGAAATCCAATGGCTGACAATGTAATGGACCTGCCTCTGCAAGGAAGGTATGTCGAGCAATAAATAATTAACAGGTGCTAATAAAGGACAGGCATGGTCCCAAACAGTCCATGAGAATACATTTGACAAAAACAAACAAAAAATGCAGAAGTCTGGTGAAAGCTCATTCAACCAGCCCTCGAGAATGTATCCGATAAAAAAAAAAAAAAAAAAATGCATAGGTCTTGTAAAAGTCCTCAAATCTTCATTACCTAAGATCTCATCTGTTACATTGTATTCCAGTTCTTCTGTCTTATACTTTGGGTCAAACAAGGTCCCAAGTTTCTGACATGCTGGATCCTCCACTTCTTGACATTTTTCTGCAATCTAAATTGCAAAGGTCCCAGGAGTATCTTGGATCAAGTAACATCAAGACAAGCTATTTTGCATTTTGCCTTCCAATTAATACAGCACGAATTTCCCACTTCACAGAAGTACGTACATAAACAACAAAGGGCACATCGACAAACCTGATGTCTTTCAATGTCATATGCCATCCGACAAGAATTGTCAACTCTCTCAGTATTCGCGAACTGGAACTGGAAATACATAAGATACAACATGAAATAACAATTTTAACACAACAAATACAGACATACATTTTTTTCACAAATAATGTTGTTATACAATGATCAAACAAAAAATATTTGGTGTTGGCATGTTCATGACCTGATTTTGTTGTTCTACAGTATCTTCGATCATCAAACTTTCAACACCTACAGTCTCAGAGATTCTCAACTGCAAAATACAAGGTACTTTTATTTTATAAACAGATAGCTTGGACAGCTAAAAGGACACAAGGCAACAAGATGTGAACAAAAAAAAAAAAGCTACACACACACGCACACGTGCATGCACATGCACACACACATGCACACACACAGCGCACACACACAGTGACAATGCTGTCTTTGGGAGGCCTCATGAGGCACCCACCCAGACTGCCATTATCACTGGTTGCCTGGGCTGGGTTTCCGCAATTTTAAAAACAGATTACCACAAAAGGATCATGCACGTAATTTCTGTCGTGATTTGAAATTTTTCATAGGGGAGAACAAATATACATGTTAGAAGAAATGCATGTGCCTATCAAAAGATGCAAAGTAAAAATAAATCCACCAGTGAATATAATGAACCAGAATCTACATAAAAGCCTAAATGGTATCTCCCGAAAATCTATTGAGAAAAAACTTTGACAAGGAAATACAAAGTTTGATTGTGCAAGATCATTATAACAAGAAACAATACACTGAATCCATCCACACTATTCTATGCCTTCAAAGAACATGAAAAGCACCGGGTTTTGAACAATTTAACTCACCAAGTGTGATGAGCATGCAACTTTATATGCATCAGAATCCATATGAACGATGTCAGGAAAAATATTTGTCGAAGATAGTTTCCCACAAGAACAGCTATCCTTTAAATCTTTCAAATCTTTGTCCAGTTCATGACAATGAATCTTTTCTTTTTTGAGGCATTCATTGAGAGACTGGATTACATTTTCAGAGACCTGTCGCAAGATATACCAACAAATTAAATCACCAGGCAAGTATCGAATATCACCAAAATGACCTCACTTCAATTTGGACAAACAAACTTAAGAAAGCCAGCATTCATGAAAAAAAAAGGGAAAAGAAAAACAAGTGGTCACACTAGCCAAAAGAAAGTGCCATTAACCATAATAGCTAAAACGTTACAGAGAACAATCACCACCACAATAGTGACAATGCTAGAAAATACACAACAATAATTGCAATAACAAAGCCAAAACAGGGCCACAGCTGCTTTACTTTTCCTTAAATTCCATAAGAGACCAACTTGCTAGGGCAATACATAGCTAGAGGAGAATTCTGATTACTACCACAAGCTTTTCCTTGTATTCTTTCAAAACATTCCATAAGGCCTTTGAGAATGCCTGCAGAACTTGATAATCCTTTTCTCTCCTTTTTAACTCAAGGACACAACCAGCATTTGACGGTGAATTCTCATGTTGCATCACTCTATCAGGTAGGTCAGTACATTCATCAACACCTCGGGGCTTCTCTAGAAGAGTCACAGTTTAACAACATCACAGCCAGTGAGTATGATCACCATAGACCAAACAGCAAAAAAACCTCATCACCAAATAATTCAAACGGACAATGAATTTAGCTTACTCTGGGTAAGAGAAGCTTCCCCAGCGACTCCATCTCCAACTTTGGCATGATTTTCACAATTCTGAAAGAAGCAAAAGCAGAATTAAAATTAACAGAAATATCATCCAAATGAATTTAGTTATGCACTAAATTAATAGTCAACTGAGTTGATCTGTGCACTTAAAATATGATCATCTAAGCAAGTTCCGACCATGAACAACAAGGGAAACCCAAAATACAGGATAGACATAAAAGAAAATCCGAGCAGGTAGTTTCTTTTTGCAAATCACGGATTAACAGGAATAACAGTTCTGATACAGAAATATCAAACAATTTACAGTAAAAAGTATGTATAGGACTACAGATGGCAAATTGAGAGAGGGAGGGGGGGGAACCCGCCAAGGACAAGCAGAAGCCCACTTTGGATCCCTATAGTGCCAGCCTGACCCAAACGACCCTAGTCAAGGCCTGCTCCAACCAGGCTGAACAGATAGATTCAAAGGAAAAAATATTGGGGAAAATGTAGGATTGGGCCAGGCCGACCAGCCATGGGCCAGGTCCAGGCCTGACCCTCGGGCCTAATTTTGTAAGCCAAGCCGAACGTGCCAGGCAGCCAGCACTACTAAGACTAATGGACAGCAATGAGTTCCTAATTGGTACAAGTTAAATTCTGGATCTTCTCTCTGGAATAAATGTGTGCTTATGAATTAAGGTTAGTGTATTACTCTATCCATGCTGTAAAAATTGGTAGCAAAAACATATGGACCCGGTTTCTATGCGGCCAAGCCTGCATATGTAGAAATGTGGGCCTATTAATAAATCTATTTTTGAGATGGATTTTTGGACTTATTTTTAAAGGATATGTAATCTCTAACATGGAGATCATGAATATGAAAAAATAAGTAAAGTTTAAAAAGTAGAAATAAAATTCTAGTAAGAAAACATTTGGACCGCTAGGTTCCATGGTTTTTAGATGGAACACCTACTTTCATCCATCTTTAAGATGGATGCTTACACTTTTTGGACTGCATATGTAGTCATGCGGTCCAGCCCGCATGAAACAATTTTCCAAAACATATTCCAGATCCCAACTACTACTAAACTATGCAAACAAGAGGACACTAGGTCATACCAGTATGCAAAAACTCAGCCAAGGTTCAAGACTCAGCCCTTGCCTCTCAGAGTAACTCATGGGTAGCCGAGTGGACTCGCCAAGATGTGTACGAGCCCAAAAAGAGCTCAAAATTGCAAAACAAATTACAAAATGACAATGTCAAAAGATAAACAATTTATAAAAACTTAAAGTAACGAAAAAATAAAAAGTATACAAAAATAAAAAATATGAAACAAAGAAGGAATAGGGATCATCCGTGAGGGAAAAAAGGTATGCATTTAGAAAATTAGGGATTATTCGTGGGGGAAAAAAGGTATGCATTTATAAAATTAGGGATCATCATTGAGGGAAAAAATGTATGCATTTATAAAATTGATTTATAGCTTGAAAGTTGCAACAATTCAGAAAAATCCCAAAAGCAAAAGTAGAAAAATAGAGCACATCATAATAAAAAACCACAGATCAACATAAAAAACATAAATAACTTAGGGAAACATTGCTCCCATAAAAATAAATAAACATCATAGGGAAACATTGCTTCTAAGTTTGCCAATACAACTCGCCTTGGTGGGGTGTCGAGGCCAAGTAACTCCGTCTAAGATTGAGCCAACCAAACCAAGTTTCTAAACACCGATCCATATCACAATGTATTCTAGATTGTAAGCATGTGCACGTAACAGTTCACAGCCTCTTGGAAGCCATGGCATCAGACTTGCAAAATCTTATTTAACATATAAAATTAACTTACAATATCAGTCAGTCTTGTGATAAAATTGTTATCCATGGAGCATAACCTTTCATCCATATCTTCAACGATCCAATATAGGTGGTTCAAATTGCATTTCAAAGAACATCGGTTAACTGGCAAGGCTATTTCTCTGTATTCCATAAATTTTCTATTTTTTTACCTAAAATCATAGACTCATACTATGAGGTATAGGCATGAAATAGTGATGAATGTTAGGACTAATTATGGTGTTTTGGTCAAGGGGTAAAGCTCATCATTTTTCAAGTTTTACACTCCTCAATGATTGGGATTCACGTGGGATCCTAAAATTCTTAGACTTTGATGAGGGGTGCACAAATAAGAGAAAGTGGAAATTACGTTAGGGTTGTGATTCGATGAGGGATCAGAATCCTTTATGGAAAGTTTACAAGATTAGGAATGGATCATGGCCTCGATTTGATAGGAACTTTTAGGATTTTAGGGTTCACAATTATTTAAATAGTGGGGTTAATAAGTTGAGAAGAGACATCGATTATGCATTATTAGTGATTTCCATTATGGTACCCACGATGTGTGTTGAGAAGCTTCTCAAACTACTTTAAGCAGAAATTTGTCGTTGTTGGTTCGATCATGTGCATGCTATAACGGCTTTCCAAGAATAAAATATTAAGGCCTCAATCAACTGGTATCAAAGTACGGCTTTGATCTGTGATTCTAAGATATCATTTAGAAGAGAAGTTTTTGCTCCAAATCAAGATGGATATTCCAAATTGCAATAAACTGTCACCAAGTTTGCACAAGAAGTAGATCAACTCACACATTATGTGCAGCTCGTACAAGAGCATAGAAGGATCTAAGGAATTAGATAGGAAGTGCACAAGATTGATTGCTATGGAGAAAGATTAACCGTCAACCGGCATTTTCAACATGGGGCCTAGGCATCAATTGGTTTCCATGATTATCATGGAAAACCTCTATCTTCACCATCCACTTTGGAAAATCTGGAACCCGTAGATTCAGATCACCACCAATATTTGACGTGTGCCCAGGTAAAGATTTAAGCTTTACTAACAATTGAATTTTAGACCGGCAAACTGATTTTAAGGAAGGAGTCATAGGCAAACACATATATAATGAAAAGCTGTTTGAATTTGATATTTTTGTATTAGTAACTTGATCTCCGTATCTTGGTCAATTTGTTTAGGTGTTCTCACTATCATTCATACTCTTAAAGCTAACAAAGAAGAAAACTTAAAAAGAGTCTGGATTTGAAGCAGAATACGTCTCATCGATGTTTAAAACTTGAGGATAGATTCTTTCCAAGTGGGAGAGATGGATGCAAATGCTATATGAGGAACACAAAATTTTAAGGGTATCCCCAAATTGGTCAGTTAAAATTGCATTGCCAAGATCTTTCAGACATGTATGAAAGCCATTGCGATTTGTTTTTCATAATTTTTCTATTTTAGGCCTCTAACCTTGTACACGGTATAGGCATGAAAAAAATTTGAGACCACTTATGGTTTTTTTTGCATTATATAATTGTCAATTGGTAGATTCATCATCAACCAAGTAATATATTCCCTTGGTATTTGGGTTTCATGAGAGAGACCTAGAATTGTGTGATTCTGACGAAGGATGCACTTACTAGGACAGGAAATTGTGGAAATCAGGTTAGGCTTGTGATTCTTTGAGGGATGGGAGTATTGTGGGGAAGTCTACAAGTTCAGTAACAGATGGAAGAAAAATTTGATGTCATAAATTAATTCTCTAGCTACTTTGTGCAGAATTTTGTGTTTGTTGATTTCCTCTCTCGCATGCTGTTTCCACAAATAAAACATCAAAGCCTGTGTCATTGTGTACTCACAAGCCCATTATTGCACGAAACATGGAGAAAATATCGTAACAGAATTCTAGGTGGAGGGAGGATGAGAAAATGCCTCAAAGGCTACAGGAAGATATCAGATTAAGGGCCCTTAAAACCATGAACTTCGTATTATATAGATACTGAAGATGATTGTATAAAAAGTACACCCGATTAAAGAACCCCACATGCTTGCTAGGGTAAAACAATTTTGAAGACCACAGGTAAAGAAATGCTTATGGCAAGCTCATAATAAGTTTTCAAACTGATGAGCATTGATCCTTAAGTGTTATGCCTAGTCCTTGGGAGCAGCATTATCCAATGATTTGTAAATAATCCCCCATGGGTTTAAATTGTCTTTGTACACCTCACCCACACCATGTAAGAAAAGTTCTCAAGAAATCATTGATGGACCAACTGTCGACAGACATGCATGGCAAAACAGATGTCTTATGAAATTCAAAAATCCAATATGGCTTCTGATATAATTCACAGAAAAATCTGTATAGATAGGGCAATGGAGTTCCAGGTAATTTGACCAATGCGTCCAAGGTTCAACACCTCACATTTCAGTTTTTCTTTTTCTTTTTTGCTTAATGAAATGGATCAAGCACAATAAAGAAAAACATATTGATGGCAAACTTATTCAAGCAAGGACTACAACCGAATAATGTACAGGAGAAACCAATGCTTAGTACTATCGTATTATATAAAGAAATCAAATACCATAGAAGCCTCAATCTTATTGCCCTTCCTTCGCTTAGGAAGCTCCAGCTTTGTCAATACCCCAATGTGCCTCTTCTGGCAAGATAAATTGAGTCCATCTTCAGAATTGTTGTATCTACAAATAGAAATAGTATCAACCGATGAAAAAAAGCAGGTTTGGCAAACAAAACTTGAAACAAACTCCCATTGGAACTATAACATGATGAAACAATATAACATGAAAGAAAATGGATAAAAGCTATACCATTCCATGGGAGTCCAGACAAAAATGTATCACCTAACAACAACCCACTATAATTTAATAAAGGAACGAGAAAAACCAATCCCTCGAGCCCACCAACTAGTATTTTTAGGCTTATATATAGTCAAGATTTCCAAAAATAAATAATATATAGTCAAGATTTCCAAAAATAAATAGATATTGTGTTAATGAATAATCAGCTCACAGCCAAAAGAATAACCACATTCTTAGGGCATTGGGGATAGTATCTGAGAAACAATATAACATGCAAGAAATGGATAAAAGCTATACCATCCCATGGAAGTACTAACAAAAATGTATCATCTAACAACAACCCATTTTATTTTAATAAAGGCACGAGAAAAGTCGATCCCTCGAGCCCGCCAACTAGATTTTTAGGCTTATATATAGTCAAGGTTTCCAAAAATAAATAGATATTGTAGTTTATAAAAAAAATAAATAAATAAACAGATATTGCGTTAATGTATAATCAGCTCATAGCCAAAAGAATAACCGCATTCTTAGGGCATTGGGGATATTATCTGAGAAACAATATAACACGAAAGAAAATGGATAAAAGTTATACCATCCCATGGAAGTCCACAAAAAAATGCATCACCTAACAACAACCCATTATATTTTAATAAAGGCAGGAGAGAAGGCAATCCCTAGAGTCCGCCGACTAGTAGTTTTAGGCTTATATATAGTCAAGAATTCCAAAAATAAATAGATCTTGTAGTTTATCAAAAAAACAGATATTGCGTTAATGAATAATCAGCTCATAGCCAAAAGAATAACCGCATTCTTAGGACATTGGGGATAGTATCTGATGGAGATCCAATTGATTCAAAATTTCAATTTTTATTTTCTGAATTTTATTTTTAGAGATGTGGTTGTTATAGCTTACATTTTTAATTAGTAGTTAGCTTTTAGTTGTTAAGCATAGGATTATTTTTCATTTAAGACTTTATTAATTGGTTTCCTAGTTTAGTTGGGACTTGGGAGTAGATTACGTAGGTGCCAAGAGAGGTCCTATAATGATGGTGTACTAGGATGGCAGGACTTGTTACTATTTTTATGGGATTTAGTGATTTCCTAGTTTTATGGGATTGGTGGACCTAGGAAAGAAAGTAGGTGTCTAAGACATAAAGAGGAGGGAATCATGTGAAGTTCAAAATATATATATATATACATCGGAAGATTTCGTTGGTGCATGATCTTGAGAGATAGAAGATATTCTTTTTAATTTTCATTTTATTTTTCCGTGATGGCTTGTATTAAAGGGAGATGCTTCCCATGAGAAACATTATGTTAGAGTGAAATTTATCTTATGAAAAGAAAAGAGAGCTTCCTCTTCTCTTGCTCTACTTGCTTCCTCTTCTCATGTTCTACTTGTTGGTTTGATTTGCGCTGCATCAGTATCCTAGTCATTTATTCAGCCGTCAACTTCCCTGTTCCAAGAAAAAAAATAGCCAATTA